AGTAGGTTAGGTGTTACCTAGTCACGCAGTCTCTCACGCTCCTATTTTCCCATATTCCCGTAAGACAGTAGCGGCCAGCGCCGATCGATACCACCGTCCACGTCTACAGCACTGCAGCGGTACTGCAATGGAAGGGCGATGTAGCGCGCCGAAGCGCGTCATCAAGAATTCTGAACGCTGCCTTGAATCGCTAAGAAGTTAAAGTTGAGCTACCGCGTGGCCTCTCCAAACAACGTTAGCATCGAATAGAAATTTAGAACTGGAAACAAACCTCCATTCCGACAGGTCTCAACTTCTTCCAATCCAATGATGCCGTGAAATGGTGACGAACATCTCCCATATAGTAAACAGCATTACGATCGCCACTTCCTCCTCCATAAGGATCTCCATATCGCCCATTGCCGTTGTGCATCTCATAACCTTCACGTGATTGTGGAGACGTTTCCACCATGACCACGCTCTTCAAAGAAAATTTCAACAAAGGTAGGATTCATTTAAGAGAAAATTAAGACTCGTTTGTGTTAGAGCACCCCACGATTTTCTCAATTTTCTGACGACATTCCTTCTTTCAGTGCCTAACGGTTCGCACGTGATTCGCCCCCCCCCCGCCCCTGATGGGATTTCATTCTTGTCTTATTGAACCGGACAGGGTCAGTAGGACAAGAATGAATCGTGAATCCCATCACAACCAGGTCGATGGGATCTGCCAGTGAAAACGAAATTTCGTTGAAATTTGCCATGGGTAATTATTAATAAGTAGGGTCATCTCACCTGATGTTGACCTTCTGATGCAGTGTACGCTACGTCCATTGTGTGGCCTCCAGCCTTTAGTATCACTCGACCATCTTTGGTAATTACCAACTTTCCAATTGATCGACCAGCTGGTAAGCTTAACTGTTCCACAGTAGCCTTCTCACTGGAATCTGGCAACGATCTGCCATCCACCCCATCCTGTAACAGTAGGTTTCGAAGAAAATAGGAGAAAAATAGAAAGTGTTACTGGAAAGAACGATGAAACGGCAACGCACCAGCATAGCATTACCATTTGGTCCGACTATTGTTAAAAATGACTCTATCTTCTGATGGCCTTTCTTGGCTGAGAACTTTTAGAATACCAGGTAGTTGAAGCATGAATAGTTCGCTCTCACGACCTTCTGAAAGTGAAATTGTCAGAGATTACCACAGTTACTTCAAAGCATAATAATGTGTTCCTTTACGGTATAGTCGTCACCTTACTAAGAAGGTGACAGTAGCGCGCGCTGAACAAAGGGCAGGAGGCCCAAAAGAAGCCAAACACGATTGTGTACCATTAGAATGGTCCACAACATCTCTCTCTCCTCTCTCTCCCGCTCTCTTTCTGAAAACCTCGGCATTGTTGGATACTTCTTATGGCCTTCTTATACGCCAACGAAGCTTCTGGAAGGAACATTTCATTGATGACACAGCGTTCCGACCAGACTGTCATTCTTAGGGGTCCAGTATACCACTTCGTGAGCGGATACCACGATTCACGGCTACGGTGATGCAACTCTGAAATTGCGCGGCCTTCGCCGCAAGCGACGTGACTTCATGACAGAAATGCCTGTCTCCCACTGTGTTGTTGGTATAATGTCAGTTTCATACTCGTTCCACTCCGACGCGCGAGAAGTGAGCTTCAGAGAAATACGATTTCGTCGAAACATTGAACCTTGACAAAAGCTCCACCAACAGCATCAGTGCTACGAAAAAAACCATCAAACTTTGCAAGTGAAATGATTATTTTGCTGAACTGAATTGTTTTAATCAACCTATGAATGCCTTACAATCACTTCAGGAACGACGGACAAACTACACTTGACTGCTTTGCGATGACACGCGTCGTCGTGCTGCCGACGCGCCGGCCGCGAGTGTTTTTGAAGAGGATAGGAGAACAGGTGAGTACCAGATGTGTACCGCTCTCTTCTTCCATACTGTTCACACTCACCCACAGTAATTCTATTCTCCTACACTCTCTCAAAACACTAGCGGTCGGCGCCGATCGATACCCGCCTAGTGCACTGGAGCGCTACTGCGATGCTACTGTCGACGCGCATCATCATGAAATCTAAACAAACAACAAAAACCTAAGAAGTGAGCCACGAATGATAGAAGAATCCTAGTAGCCTTAGTGAAAATTACGCTGAACTTCAACGAAAAAGAAAAGTTCGTACCACTCATGAGCACACTTCTTAAAATCCGCGCAGCTTTCCGACTTTGCTTTGATGTAGGGCTTTCTTCTTCCATTTCTTCCTCACCATCAGTTCCTCTTAAATCGTGAAGTAGAGAAAGATGATATCGCTATTAGCAACAAAGGTAATCTGAACTGAGTAATTCATCATTTAATCGGAGCAATTTATTGGGATTCTCCGTTTCCAAGGCAGGGGTGTACCCAGAAAGGGATGACTTTTAGGTCATGGGGCGCTCTTTGCCAATGGGCTGTTGTAGAGGTTTGCAAGCGGATTTCAGCAGTGCCACTTATTTTTCCTGGGACTGTCATAGAACTAGTGAAAATTACAAGCGATGGACCGTGTAAAAAGGCTGTCCAAACAAGGTCCTTGTTCGGAGAGGTGTCGTAAACAGCAACAAATTACCCTGTATGAATTTCTCGTCAGAAACTGGTAAGGTAGCGACGTAGAGCACAAGGTTGGTCAAGTAACTCCGCCCAGGGTAACATATCCTGATCTGCTGTCTTGCTCGTTTGCAATTTTCTCACTGCTTTCTCTGACCTCTGGTCCGGTTTCAACATCGATCCTTCTTCTTTAGCTTGGCACAAATAAAGCATTACTTGGAGCGTTCTCAGTTTCCTTTCTTTTTTTTCACAGACAAGTCAACTAGCACATGCACTTCTGCTTCCAATCCCGCTACCTACGAACATTTCGCTGGCTCATCGCTAATTCTGCTTTCAAAGCACTCCCCACCACAGCTTGAACCTAGCGATTGTCATTTTCGGCAGTCCCAGAAGCGCGTAGGAAAAGTACAGTATACTTCCGAGTTTCATGCATGGACCTCTATGTATGAAGCATGCAGCAATCCGTTTTGGCCTACCATGTCCTCCGACATCGCTTTTCAAACACAAAAATAACAGAGCAAACGGCTGACATGAGAAATGTACTCACTCCAAAATATGCTCCTTGATATCGGTGTCAATTTCAGCTTTCAACGCCTCTTCTTGTTCAAGGATCTCATTCTTTACATCCTTATCCATTAAATCTATGAACTGAGACTGAAGCTCCAGCGGAAGCACATGCGGTAGTATAGTACCGTGCTTGTAGTCGGAGATGAACTAGAAGTTAGTCATAGTCAGTAAAAAAGTAGAAAAGAACTTCATCTCTCACTTACACCATCTCTGAGAAGTTCACTGAGTTCTTGCATGTCTCCATCATCATCGCTTTCCCAGAGCTCGTCATAGCCAGCATAACCCGACAGAACTTTACCAGCCTTTCTGTCTTCATCCATCGGCACCGCTTCCTCCTTCACACGACCAGCAATAACTGAAATTATTGAAATTCGCTAGAATAAAAAGCTTAGAAGGACGAAAAGCTGGCGCTGCAGAACTATTACTACCCCAAAATCCTAATTTTTTTTCTTGCTAAAACTCGATTATTAGGCTTATTCTGTGCACTGGTCTTTGAAGCAGTAATTAAGAG